GTAATTTTTTATATTTCTTATATTTTTTGCAATCTAATAATTTTAATTCATTAATTTTTTTAAGAAAATAGTTAAAAATATAAAGGGAGATACACTAATAAAAAACTCATTAACAATATAAAAAAACAATGTTATATGAGTAATCTTTTAAATATTTGACTGTATACTCGCAAAAAAACTACATTAAAACCACAATTATATAGTTTGAGAGACAAAATAGATAAATTAATACTTTAGAGGGCAATTTAATCACCAATATTTTGAGCGGGAAATAATCATTTCGACCTTTAGTTCTAGACTAGTTTTATTTAAACGCATCCAAATTAAAATTAACTTAAAATTAGTTCACATAGATTGATACGAGTTGCCGTGCGAGCACCATTTGGTCGCGGAATTACCAAAAGGTGGGTTGAGAAGAGGACGACCAAAACACAAGAACAATTCAGTTTGGCGAAGGAAAATACCTTCTCTAGATTATGAAGAACAAAAGATTACAATATCTCTCTCACAATCTCACTCTAGAATTGAAGAACAAGCTCTCCAAATCTCAATCTAGAATTTAATCTCTCTTGATTAAACTCTGACCTAAAAGAAGATCTCATAGATCCTCACAATCTAAACCCTAATCCTTTTGATTAGGATCTCACTTAGACCTAAAACTCTTTAGGACTACATCTTGGCCTCTAACCTTCCTGTTTAGAACCCTAAACAATCCCTATTTATAGGGTTTACAACGTGGTGGCAATCTGGTAAATAACCAAAACCAAACCCAACTAGAATTCCATGACTGAGATGAGTCGACTCATGATCACCAGTCGACTCATGGTCAACTCAAAATGTGCACAAACTGTGCTGGCCTGCATGAGTCGACTCATGATTTTCATGAGTCGACTCAGCAGAAGCATTTTGCTATCTGGAGGCGTTTTCTTGAGTCGACTCATCAACCCATCAGTCGACTCATCAACCGTCAGTCGACTCATCAACCCGTCAGTCGACTCATCAGGCTGAGAACTGAAATCTTTGATTATTCGTTCTTCCGACTCGCCTCACGCTCCATCCTGTGCTCCGCCGTGTCGCTTCACACCACTATTCTCAAGATATCATGAGAATCACCCATCCTCAAGCTCTTATGAGGATCGCTAAGCTCCCGAAGCAGAGAAGAAGATACACCCGTATCATGGCTCCCCTCTTTAAGAACTTGAAGTCCCTTTCAAGTTAGAACTTCTGTTGAGGAAACTCTCGTGCCCCTCCATCTTTGTTGTCTTCAGTCATCTTCTTCTTCCTTAGTCTCTGAACTCCTTCCAAAGAAAAAGGATATCGCCAAGCTTCTTGTATTGCGATCGAGTAAGGACCATACACAGGATGCCCCTTCACCGGATCTGATGCACTGATACCAACTTGATACGAGTTGCCGTGCGAGCACCCTTTTGTCGCGGAATTACCAAAAGGTGGGTTGAGAAGAGGACGACCAAAACACAAGAACAATTCAGTTTGGCGAAGGAAAGTACCTTCTCTAGATTATGAAGAACAAAAGATTACAATCTGTCCCTCACAATCTCACTCTAGAATTGAAGAACAAGCTCTCCAAATCTCAATCTAGAATCTAATCTCTCTTGATTAAACTCTCTGACCTAAAAGAAGATCTCATAGATCCTCACAATCTAAACCCTAATCCTTTTGATTAGGATCTCACTTAGACCTAAAACTCTTTAGATCTACATCTTACATCCATGAATCATTCACCTTAGATTGAACCTCCCAGACATTTTGATTCTACAAATAGTTACCATGTATCCACTTAATCCATAGTAAGTCTTTTTTGAGGTGAATCATCCAAAGGAGCTTTGTGGCAGCTGCATAATTTAATGACTTTGCAGGAAAACCCCCCCACTCCTCCTTGTTTCTTCCCTTGGCAAATAGAATTCCAGGCAACCAAGTGGAATTTATGATCTCATAGGAAATCAGAGCACATCCTATCAATTTTCTCTAGAACTCTAATCAACAAGATGCAATTACTGATCCAAAATGTTTGAATACCCAGAATTACAGACTTGATCAACTCAAGCCTACCAGCATAAGATAGTTTCCTATTTTGCTACCAAAACTGAAACTAGTTATTAATTTTTACAAGCAGGCTTGAACATTCAAGATAAGAAAGCCTTTTGGCACTCAGTGGTAACCCAAGAAACTTGATACGAGTTGCCGTGCGAGCACCCTTTGGTCGCGGAATTACCAAAAGGTGGGTTGAGAAGAGGACGACCAAAACACAAGAACAATTCAGTTTGGCGAAGGAAAATACCTTCTCTAGATTATGAAGAACAAAAGATTACAATATCTCTCTCACAATCTCACTCTAGAATTGAAGAACAAGCTCTCCAAATCTCAATCTAGAATCTAATCTCTCTTGATTAAACTCTCTGACCTAAAAGAAGATCTCATAGATCCTCACAATCTAAACCCTAATCCTTTTGATTAGGATCTCACTTAGGCCTAAAACTCTTTAGGACTACATCTTGGCCTCTAACCTTCCTGTTTAGAACCCTAAACAATCCCTATTTATAGGGTTTACAACGTGGTGGCAATCTGGTAAATAACCAAAACTAAACCCAACTAGGATTCCTTCAAAACAGAAACCAAGTCTGCCCAGGAAACCTCGATGAGTCGACTCATGACTGAGATGAGTCGACTCATGATCACCAGTCGACTCATGGTCGACTCAAAATGTGCACAAACTGTGCTGGCCTGCATGAGTCGACTTATGATTTTCATGAGTCGACTCAGCAGAAGCATTTTGCTATCTGGAGGTGTTTTCTTGAGTCGACTCATCAACCCGTCAGTCGACTCATTAGGCTGAGAACTGAAATCTTTGATTCTTCGTTCTTCCGACTCGCCTCACGCTCCATCCTGTGCTTCGCCATGTCGCTTCACATCACTATTCTCAAGATATCATGAGAATCACCCATCCTCAAGCTCTTATAAGGATCGCTAAGCTTCCGAAGCAGAGAAGAAGATACACCCGTATCATAGATATAGTTTAGCCCAACATAAGCTAAGTGTAACCGGATCAAACTAAATCAGATTAATTTCTAAGTTGCCAAATTGAATCTATGGGTACAGAAAACTTGTTTTAGGTTGTATGTCCTTGGTCTAAAATTTTCAAAGTTGGGCCTAAGCGGAATTAGTTTTTTCTAATCCAAAATCTATCTCCATACTTGCTCTTTTGTGAACCAACTTTTACATTGATCAAATCTTGTCTGGTTAAGAAAAAACTAGTTGTCAAGTTCTTTTTATGCCAATCGCACACTGACCCTTAGGCCTGTTTCAGCAAATCCCTCAAAATTAGGTTAGGAATGAGCTTAATACAGTGTTGAGGTTTTTTATCCAGTGGAGGGGCGAATAAAAAAAGAACAAGGTTTAAATCTTATATTTTACCTAGGAAGAAATGGGCTAGCGTTGGCCCAGTTTTTACTCATAAAAAACAAATTCAAATTTGAGTCAGTTTCACTCCTAACCCATCAATGATTTGCTAATAAACTGGCTCAGTATAAGTCTGTGCCCTTGAGGTGCTGGTTTTTAGAGAATAGCATCCCTCTTCCTTGCAAATTGAAGGTGATATGTGCCAGTAAGTAAGTTGCGGAAGATTAAATGAGTCTAAAAGTATAGTAAACAAAGAGATTTTTGCGCAATTCACTCTTCTTTTTAAGGCTTATTAAACTAAGAGACAAACTTTATGATAAACGAGACATTCCGGTCCATCATTGCTTTGAATAGAATAGCAATCAAGACTAGTTATATTTGTTTGATCATTGATGTCGTCGGAAGATACTGAGGTAGAAACATCTATTCTTTTATACAAATGGGAGAAACAAAGAGTCACTGTTCATGCTACAGTAAATGCTACAGTAGATTTACTGTAGCAGTATTACTGTAGCATCTGAGAAATTTAAAAGCCACTGTAGCAGATCGGTTACTGTAGCAGCTCGGGAATGGCACTGTAGCAGGCGAGTTACTGTAGCACCCCAGAAAATTCAAAACCGGGAGAGTTTAAAAACGGCGGGAACACTGTAGCAAAAAAAAAAAAAACACCGTGCTGTGCACGGGCTGCACACTAGTTAATAGGAGTGCGAACAACATGAAACCAAAAGCTCTTATTAGTTTGATTTGAGTTAATCTCCCAGAAATGACTGTAGAGAGACAAATCTTCCACAACTTAAAAGGATTCAATAGAATAACAAGCAAAATTGGTCTGCTGGCGTTGCTTCGGCATCTGTGTGAAATATGCCAAGAATTACCATTTTAATTACTTGGTTTAAAAATACGCCACACATCTAGGGGTGGCAAACGGGTCGGGTCGGGGCGGGTCACTAGTGTATATATATATATAAACTCCTCTGGTTTATATTTTTCTTTGTATTAAGACACAAAAAGCAATTGGATTGAAACAGGTGGAACTACTATTATTATACTATTATTATATTCATCAAAGTCAGTAACATGCTATATGTCTCAAGCGATAATAATAATGTTAGGTTACATAGAAAAAAAAAAATTAGTATGTTCAACGTTCAAACAGTCATACAGTAATAAAGTATTCAATAATGTGCGACTGCAAAGTTGATTAGTTGAATATTTTGAATCTTGTTTTCATTTTTTTTTCTTGAAAAAACCTTTTTGAATATAATTTGAATCTGACAAAATTCTCAGTACATAACATACGTCTTCCTACGAAGTTTTAAGAATTTTATGGAAACAAATAGATCAATAGATACATGATGAACTAACATATAAGAGGTATATTCTGGACAGTTATGAACTTCAGTTATTTCTACTAATTTTAATTAATTCCTAAAAATATCCCCACATAAAAAATAAACTAAAAATAATAATCAAACACTCTCTTTTCTGACCCAGACAAGATCCAAATCACGTCTATATCAACCTCAATACTTTTTCCCTGTCATATTTCCTTATTAGACCCGAATTCTCCTCTCATCCCTCCTTCAGAACTCTCTCCCCTCTTCTTGTACTCTTTTCAGCTCCCCATTTTCTCCCCAAATTTATATCTAATCATTTTATTGCATTCACATTCACTTGCACAGAGAGAGCTATGAAGGTTAGTATTCTGTCATCTCATAAACATTAATTCCTTGGTTCTCTTTAATTAATTTCTTCAAAAGAGTAATTGATGGTCGCTCTGCTTTTAGCTCTTTTGGGTATATGATCTTGTATGTGAGTGAATATTTAGTGGTTTTCGTGTGTTATGAACCTGCTTCTGATTTCATAACTGATGTTTTTATATATTTTCTCGATGTCTATATGTTCATTTTAATACTGAACTCAGTTATATATATACTACTTGGTCTATAATTAATGCTAACGATATCAAATTCAATGGCTTGATTGCAGAAAATTGTGTTGAAAGTGGAGTTACATGATGACAGAGCCAAACAAAAAGCTCTCAAGGCTGTTTCATCTATCCCAGGTATTAATTCTCTCTATTTCATTTGAACTAACTTTCAGCAGTATTTTTTCTTTTCTTTTTCTCTTGCTTGGTTGAATGGAGATAATGAGATAATTTCTGACATAAAATTTGCTGAGACGCGAAGCAAAATCTCTAAAAAAAAATTCCGTCAAAACAAACGCAAAATTTTGATTGAGGACTTTGATTCTGACAAAACTCTTGACTCCTTCAGGGATAGATTCGATCGCCGCGGACATGAAAGAGCAAAAGCTGACTGTCACAGGCTCAGTAGATCCAGTGACTATAGTGAGCAAACTAAGAAAACTATGGCACACGGAGCTTTTCTCCGTCGGGCCGAAGGAAGCGCCGAAGAAGGATGAAACCAAGAAAGAGGAGCCCAAGGGGGAGGAAGGAGAGAAGAAGGAGGAACCAGATAAGAAGCTTGATCCGCAGGAACAATTCTACCAAGAGCTTGTGAAGGCAGCTTATAGGAACTACGATCCTCATATGACCGCCAACTATTACGTGCAGAGCGCAGAGGAGAATCCAAATGGTTGCGTTGTTGCATGATGAGAGGAACAAAGATTCAGGAGTCGAGAGCTTTGTGGTAGTTATTTGATGGCTTGGGAGTGTTTTCTGTCGCAGTAAATATTGTTATTGGCGGTAATGAGTGTAAATAAATAGTTACTGTCTATGGTTAGGGTTAGTACAGTTTAATTTTGAGTCCATGTGATAAGTTTTTATGTGTTACGTGGACGATTATGTCAATTTTTTAATGTTTTGGTAGGTTATGAATATAGGTCTTGTATATATGGATACCGATACGAATACAAGTATCTAAGTTTTTATGAATATAGTGTTTATCCTGTTTATTTTGTGTCTATGTCAATTTCTCCTTCTTTTTTTTTTTTTTGGGGGGGACAGGAAATGGAGTTTTCTTGTTGAATCAATCCACGTCTGTAGTTTTGTTCTTGAGTTGCATGTATTTGAAGTTGTGGGCGAAGGTGCTTTTATCCGTGGGCAATGTTAACCTTCACCCATTTATGGTACTTTTAAGCTAAATTTAACATTTCCACCTTAAAAAAATAACAATTATTCTTTTTATTTTTATTTTGTTGGTCTCAAGAAACTAAGCCAACCGCTAATTCTTTTCCTATGTTCTTGAAGTGTACATTGTCTTATATTTATGTAACTTATGCTTTTTTTGTTGTTGTTACATAACCAGTGTTATATATACAACATGCAGTTTATTTGACTGTAACTTCTTATATTTTTCGTGGTTTAAGAAGCTGAGCTCGAATAGTCAAGGTTGCAAACAAATTGTTAGGGGTTTTATGGAGATTAATTAATCTGCGGAACTAAATACTAAACAAATAACGGCACCAATGAAAATATCACAAGTAAGGAAATACCAAGATTTAACGTGGTTTGGCAAATTGAGCCTACGTCCACGGGGCAATCCAGAGAGAAATATTTCACTATGAATCAAATGTACAATCCCTCTAAGTTACACCTAAACTTGAGGATTAAGTCACAAGAAAAAAATGATTTGGAGGATCCACAACACAAATAAAACTCAAACCGTCCTATTTTGAATTTAAAATAAAAATTAAGTGGAACTCGAATTAGTCCTTTACACACTGCCATGGGTCATCTTTTAGTTAGTTGGTGGCCTAACAATGATATTTGATCCCCACTAATTATATTGTGTAATTATATATTAATTAATGTAACAAACTATCACCTTCTCTACCATCAAATTGAAAGATTAATTATTATTTATTATTCCATTCTAATGTTAATCAAGTGATTATAAAACTAACGGTATAATTTGAAATTGTACTTAATTAAGTTTGGTTCATATAGGTTACTAAATGAGCTTTAATTAATAACAAGTACATTCTCAAAAATTGTACAAAAAATATCCTATGTGTTAAATCCTGTAGGAGTTAATAATCAGGAAAATTAGAAAGAAGAATGTAATAACAACAATGGTAATATTAAATATTTCCTTAGTTGTCAACTCCATTCTGTATAGTAAAATTTTCATCAAGACATTTCAATCGAAAATAACTGAGAATGTAAAGATCTTCTACAATTGCATTTTTCTCATTAACAAAATTGTTTAGTGATGGCCAATGAGAAACACCATACCATCGTACTCAATAATGCACTTGTCAATTATAGAGCAAATATTATTCATTAATGCTTTAGATGTAAAAGCATGCAATTGCTATTAAAATTTTGAGTTAGGGATTATATAAAAAAACCCTTTAAGTTTAATATTTTATTATAAAATCCCTCAAACATTGATAACTACGGTTATCATATGGGTGAGGAATATTATTCACATTAAATTTTTACCCCTAAAATTGTAATCTACTCGTTTTCATGAGAGTTTTCTAATAAAATCTTAAAGTTAAGGGAGACTATCCAATAACCCCTTAAAATCCCCAACTCTAAGCAGGGGTGCGGTTTTCTGATAGCTAGACTTTAAATAATCCTTCAATTCTAGTAAGTACGTGATCCTTATAATGGATCCTAAACGGATCTTGTTGGATCAGACCCGAACCCGACCCGTACCCGTTGCCGCCCTTCTAACAGTGCGCTGAATCCGCTGATCGAGTGAGCGGTAGAGAGAGCAGAAAATGAGCGGTGGCGCGAGCGGGAGCGCGAGTGCGAGGGCGGTGAGGCTCTTCGACGCCCACTGCCACCTCCAAGATCGCCGGATCTCCGCGGCCTCCGTCCCTCAACTCATCCGCACCTCCCTCGACTCCGGCGTCCTCCGGTTCGCCGTCAACGGCCTCTCAGAGGTAATAACAATCCCCAAAGATTCAAACTTTAGGGCATCACAATTCATTTGATTATTTATTTATTTATTTATTTGTTTTGCAGAAGGATTGGCATCTCGTGAAGCAGATGGGAGAGGAGTATCCGAGCGTCATTCCTAATTTTGGACTTCATCCTTGGTAAATTTCTGATAAGGGTTTTTTTCCCAAACATATAGACACCCAAATGCTCCATATTTGCAACTTTGCCGCACTAAATTCTACGATATTGAGCTAGATAACCCCAAATCTAATGTTTTTAGTTTTTAAACGCTGGAAAGGGGACATTTGAGCTAAATCACTGACAAGAAATTATGAATATATTAAGGAATTCCTTATTTGAAAGGTATTTTAGCTCATGTGTTAGAATTGAGGGGTAAGTTTCATTTGGGTGAAAATTTGCGAATATGGACGATTTGGGGGGTATACGTGTAAGAAACCCTTCTTGAAATTGATTTGAGAAGGAGATAAATTTACTTATTGTGGGAATTGATAGGTATATTACTGAGAGATCGGCAAACTGGTTGGATTCGTTGAAGGAATTCTTGAAGACAACTCCTGCTGCTGCTATTGGCGAGGTTGGAGTTTGCTTTGATAACTATTTTGTTGCTTTAAAATCAATATTATGTTTTTTCCATAGTGATTGATATTATTTGTTATTAGGTTTTTTTCCTGATGTTTGTTACATAAATGATTAAATCTTTAATATCTTGAAATTAGTCCCTAAATCATTGAAATTTCTATTAGGTCCCTCATTTCTTGTAAGTAGTTTCAAGGTTAATCCCTCCGGGCAAGAGCTGTGGGACCTCATATCCATTTCAATTATTTTAGGGATTAATTTTCAAAATATTAAAACTTAAAGGGACTGATAACAGAAAAGCCATTGTTATCCACAACATAGACAGGATTTAAGTAACAAACACATGCCAATGAACATTATTGAGAGAGTGAAGGAAAAAAAAATCTCTGAAATTTAAGGAAATATATCTTATTTGTAGAAGTGGTTGATTGCTTGCAGACTGGTCTGGATAAAGGGTCAAAAGGAAAGAAAATTGAATTCTCTGAACAGGTCAGGAATTATAGTTCTCTATTTACTTAAGTTATCTGTCTTTGTTCAGTTGTGTGTGTCTTTGTCTGTGATTGCTCAAGGACATGAGATACGTGTTGATATTAATTACAAACTGTCACCTTTATAGCAGCTAATTAAGTTTTTTGGTCAATTGGCTCCGTCTTCATTATTCTCTTCTTCCAGATTGATGTGTTTCGGAAACAACTTGAACTTGGGATGGAATTAGAGAGACCAGTTTCCATCCACTGTGTACGTGCTTTTGGTGACCTTCTAGAAGTACTGAAGTAAGTCATACTTTTCTTCAATTTTAGATTGCATACAGCGAGATAAAATTTTTATGACAAGAAATAAATGGAAATTATATAAATTTTAAAGATTGGGGCATACTTGTTTCTTAAGCCATATATCTTAGTAAATCCTCTCATGAGCTATATATTTCCATTGTACAAGCACCATCCTTCACCATAAGGCGAGCCTATTGGATGAAGTGGACTCTAATATGTACTTTCAAATTGTAGTATTGCTTAAATGTATTGTTGTGGAAAATGATACTGATTTCAGAAATAATTTCTATGGACTTTTCAAATAAATAAACACCTAGGGCTACAATGTTTGGGTTTCTTAGAACAAGTTCAATATTCAAGAATGATCTGGCAATTGTCTACAATATGCACTTCTGGAATTATCCAGAAGTTCAGGAATCATTTGGTACTAACTTGGGATAAGAACGTGAGCAACCAGTGTTAGGAACTATATACCAGTACTTAAAGCGCAGTTGCTTTTGCAACATAAGGAAACACTTTCCAGGATTTTTATGTTTCAAAGGGAGCGCATCATATTCAAATCTTGGCCACCGTTTTAGATAGGTACAAACCATTTTTTTTCTTAATTGAGTTTACATATTATGTTAAAAAAAGTTTTAACATTTGTAACTGCCGTGCTTTCTGAAAACAGTCGAACTCAGGGTACATGGAAGTTTTTTTCTTCATGGGTTTTGACCTTATGCTTTCTTTCTGAATTAGCTATTACCTTGCACATTTTGAAATTTTTGGTGCTATCATGCTAAAACCTTCAGTTATTTTTATGACCAGAGACACAGGACCTTTCCCAGCTGGTGTAATTCTACATTCATATCTAGGATCTGCTGAAATGGTTTCTCCACTTTCTAACCTTGGTGCTTACTTTTCCTTTTCTGGGTATCTCACATCTATGAAATCAACAAAAGCAAAGAAAATGCTTAAAGCGGTTTGTATATCATATTCAATAATCAAGATATTTGCTTTCTTAACAGCTTTCACTGCCATTATGAAATTAGGATCCGTCTATATACTGTTGATTTTTGTAGGTACCTATGGATAGAATTTTGTTGGAGACAGATGCCCCAGATGGATGCCCAAAGTTGGAAACAGATTCTTTGCTAACTCTTCCTATGGAAGAATCTATTTCTCAGGAACGGCAAGGGGATTCAGCTTCTGATGCATCTCCTTCACCAAAAGAGGAACTGAACCATCCTGCTAACATTCGTACGGTACGTTGCTTTGGTTGTTTGTATATTTCTTTTAACTTTGCATTCTTTGTCCGTAATTTACTAGTGACATTGCTGCCGTTGTTTTACTATTTCTGTATCATTTACAAACTTGCTGGTTAGTGACAATTATATTGCTTAATCAATTTGTTGTTGGCATATATGGCCAGATGTGTCATTTTGACCGCTCATTGATATAAAATGTCCAAATATGAGCTCTTATTACCCTCTCTCAACCTGGTTACTATGCTATCCAGGCTTAGTAGAGTTGTTGAAGTGGATAACAAGTGATTTCAGCAAGTGAAAAAAAGGACCACCCCAGTTTGATTACAAACTATGTCTCAACTTTTAAATACATTCTGTTTGGGATCTACATCCTCAAGGAATATAGTACATTCGGGTTAAAGATCTACATATATATATAGATGCGCGCGCACACACATATGATATACATATTCGTATATATATAGACACACACGCACACACACACATATGTATATGTATAGACACTTATATACATACATACATACATACATATGTATATGTATATATACACATATATACATGTACATATATACACGTGTGTGTGTACACACACACATATATGTATGTATGTATATGTATATATGTGTATGTATACATGTATACATATATACATATACACATACACACACACACACACATATGTATGTATGTATATGTATATATGTGATTGTATACGTACACACACACACACACACACACACACACACACACACACACACATATATATATATATATACACACACACACACACACACACACACACACACACACACACATGTGTGTGTGTGTGTGTGTGTGTGTTGTCAATGGTTTTTCAATTTTCTTTGCCAATGGCATCTGCATGACATATCAAGAGAAAGTCTTCCTGTTGTTGATGTTGATAGCACAATACTCCATTCCTTTCCCAGTGCAATACTACCTTGGAATAAATTTATTAACTGAACGATGAATGATTGCATGCTCAATACATAATTTCTTGGTTTACACAGGCTCCAATTGTCAATGCTCTCGGTTCCGTTTCGAATGTTTCTAGTCCTATTGCAGCGACTTTGGAGCGCCCTGATAGAGTTCCACCAGCAGTGTCAATGAGCAGCCTGGTGAGTCAACAGTGTTACAATTTTTTAGTGCCTATGACCTGTTAAAGTTATAACCTTTCAAAACAATTGCAGGGGAATATGGACACTAACAGAGCAATAGATATTAAGCCAAGAATTGCAGATGATTCTGACAAGCCAAAGAGCTGGAAATTGGCAGACATAGTAGACTCTGCTCATCTTAAAGCCTTGCGGTTGCCCGACACGATGACTGCACCAAATAAGGTAAAAATACAAGTTATATAGTACATTGTGTAATTTTTGCAGTAATAGTAAAATTGTCAGCATAAACAAAGAAATTGGACCTGGGCCATCACCCGTCAGTTAAAAAGCAATGTAACTTTTTCATTTTTATTTTAAAAACATCCATTCTTCATTTTTGTTAGGAGTGTTTCTGTTGGTGACTTGTCAACATTTGCTGGAAAAAATTACAGTTCGTGAGGGCATATTGGCCTGTACAGTCTTGATGATCAATAGCCTCGTGTTTGTAATATGCAAAGAACATCTGTAGCATGTTTCCTCCAACAAGCTATTCAAAATATAGTTGATTTTTAGGGACATGCTGTAATGAAATCTATCTTGCTTTAAATTTTCTTCTGCAAGTCTTTGGGCAGAGACTTGTTAACCAAAACAAAGTTGATCTTCAGTCTTTGTGAATTGATCATTTTACATTTATGTTTCTGTCTTTTGTGGTATATCTACTTAATGCTTATTTTGTGTGATTTATAAATCATCACAGGTTGTTCGGTTGCTATATACAAACTCTGGGTTGGCTGTCCTGGCTCTTGCCTCAAATGCTATCCATAAACTGTGGAAGTGGCAGCGTAGTGAAAGAAATCCACTTGGCAAGGTCAGCAATAGTATCGCTGCAGAACACAATCAGCAATAGTATCAACTGCAGAACACAATTCAATTTTTATCTTTTGCTTAATTTAGCTATTCTTCTTGCTTTCAGTCTACTGCCACAGTCGTACCTCAGTTGTGGCAGCCAACAAATGGTATTCTTATGACCAATGATACAAATGACAGCAATCCTGAAGAAGCAACTGCATGCATTGCTTTGTCAAAGAATGATTCATATGTCATGTCTGCTTCTGGGGGGAAAGTTTCATTGTTCAACATGATGACATTTAAGGTTTGTGCCTTGTTGCAATGTGATCAAATTTGATTTATTAGGAGTCAGGTCCTTAACATAAGATGCAGAATATACTTCTTCTTTTGGTGCGGTTTAAATATATTGAATTTTTGGTAGGTTATGACAACATTCATGCCACCCCCTCCAGCAGCGACCTTCTTGGCGTTTCACCCTCAAGATAATAATATAATTGCCATAGGGATGGAAGATTCCTCCATTCAAATATATAATGTCAGAATTGATGAGGTAATGAAGTCGAATGATTGCTTCTCTTCTGGGAGTGTCTATATGCTCTTCTTTCATTATCTGGCTAATTAAGTTTCCTATTTCTGTATTTCCTGCCATTTTATGGGAGCACTGGTAATCAATCTAATTTTCGCAATAGCTTGTGCATCTCACATCTCACCTATGCTGGAGAAATGTTTTCTGAACCCTTTTGGAGTGGAATTTGATATTGATGTCGTGCTTTCAGTTCTTGAGATATTGCTTTAATCAGCTTTTTGCTTCATGATATCTGTCTTTTCACTTCTCTACTTTGTCAATGACTGATCTAGCTTATAGCATCACGAGTTGTGATTCTTCATGCCCCAATGTCGTTGACATTTTTAGACTTCGGAGAACAAGATGAAGAGATAAATGTGTCAAGTAAAACATTCAATGATGGTCTTCGACATGCATGGTGCATTGAATTCTGTAATTAGCAGAATTTGTAACTTGTATGTCATTGAGTGCATCTATTTCGTGTCTCATCAAGATCAGATTTAATATGTTAAAAGTCAAACTGCTTCTCCTCCTATAGTTTATCTTTTCAAAAGGCGACATTCATTCTTGCTTTATGTGAGATGAGATATAGTGTTGATTTTGATTCATTCTTCTGACCAATCGTGTTGGTGCGCCATCACAACTATAATTTTAGTCGAAAATCAATCTGATAATTTCCACTTGCATGCTTAATGGCATATTTTGCATCCTTAGTGGCTTGCAATCTTACTAAGTACAGTGCTATAAAATGTGATCTTTCATCTAATGCCAAGGCAGCAAAAACAGCAAAGTCCCAGCCTTCTCTTACAAAAAACATGACCTGCACTCCTTAAAGTCTTTCTGAAAATATGTATCTGCAAATTTGACATGTTTAGTAAATGGACAAGTACAAGTTTGTATTGCATGTGTACAGTCCATGCTAGAGATCTACTACCAAATAGAAAAAAAATGAGATACAAATTGTAGTAGAAAAAGTAGGATAAGGTTCAATGCAAAACAACGATAACTGAGAAGCAAACTAAGAGGGAAAAAGCACAACAGTCTTCTGTTGAGATAACATCCCTTTAGTAATGGTAAAAAGCAGACTGGAAATTGTGCCTATTTCAACGAAAATATAGTCCTCGGGAACAAAAAATGTCAAGTGAAAGTGAAGGAACTGAAGTAGGAGTCTAGAACATAGAGTGGAAGACAAATAGCTATCATTTGAACAATGAGTATATGATCATGGATTATTGCTTTACTTCTGTAGATATAGTAAAATATGGTTGGTTTCTTATTCTTCTTAATCCTTTTATCATTCTGACGGCGTGTGCATATGGAAACAGTGGAACAGTTGAAATATGTGAAGAAAATATTTCTTAAGAGATGCCCTCCATTTGGTGCTGGAAGGTGCGTTAGAAGGAGAGAAGTATGTCTTCATGTGTACTGCTCAACTTTGGTTGTTATCACTTGATTGGTTGATCAAGTAGGAGAGCTAGTCAGTTCCTAGTTTGTGCCGAAAAAGATGCATCCCTCCTCTTTGTAGAGGCTTGGCATATCTTTCTTTTCTGCCAATGACTGTTAAATTGAGTGGAAATCCTTTACTTTTCTCCTGAGGGCTTCAGTTCTCAAGGAAGGATGTATGCGCCTTCACTTGTACTACATTTCTTTATCAATGCACATCTAGCTTGCTAGTTGCTTAGTAAGTTCTTTAGGATACTTTAAGTTTGTTGATTCATCAGCCACATTATCTAAATTGCTAAGAAAGCTAAAGAAGTGTTACTTCTAAGATATGTGTTTGAGTGAATTTCAAATAGAAAAAAGTGAAATCAGAATGGGAAATTTTTTATGTATAGTACCCTTTTGTATTATGTGAGCGTCTTTTCATTAAGACCGAAGCCAGAAAAATGTTTATAATTT